TCTTTTTCATAAGTAGAAGCATGTAGTCATTGAGCCCGTGTACCTCAATACACTTTTCAAAAACTTTCTGAAGTGTCATGAAAGTCTTAGAAAGCGTATCAACAGGCAACTCATCAAATGCGCTTTCTACAGCACCAATTCGCTCCTCGATCGAACGAGTAGACTTTTGATGCTGTAGACTTTGAACAGAGTTGAAAAATCCTAAGTCTAACACGTCGCGCATGCTGGGGCACTGCTCCGATGGCGGCTTCAATATCGTCGTTGGTGCGGACGACTTTACGTCCAGAATTGCCAAATCAAGTTTACCTCTTTATATAATACCTCAATATACTGTACAAAAAGAATTAACATAGATTTATAAAGGTTTTACCACTGATTTTTTACCCGATCGCGGCGATGGCGCGTCCGTCGGCCAAGGAGCTGCGTCCTTCCTTCCACAGGCGAGCTATGGTTCGCCAGTGGCAGTCATACAGCTGGGACTGGGCCTTGAAAGCCTCATACGGAAGCTTGTCGCCGACAGAGAGTTCTAAGAGGCTCTCATAGGCTCCGCGCCTCTGGTCGGCCGTGAGGTTCTTTGTGCGTCTGACGCTGTCAGATAATGGGCTCATGGCAACGCTGGTGTTGTGGTAGTGTGTAGAGGGCTCGTGGGATGCGTGTGTGTGTTAAGTGAGTGGAAATTCTGAAATGAATGCGTGACAGGTCAAAATGTAGCGCTGTTTTGGCTCCCGCCACTTTGGTGGTCTATATCTTGGGAAGTAAAACGAATTGGTTTGTTCTGAAAACAGCCAATCAAAGTGCTTATCTTGCGCTTTTGATTGCACCAATCAGATCGAATATACAGCCAATCGAAAAGTCAATGTGACAAACGTTACGGACCAGAGTATTATCATACAATACCCTTCGTTGCGGCCAGAAATGACACCCATTGGCTAATATTGGATATTTGCTCGAGTGTTCAACATGCCATAAACATATTTTTACTTCAAAAATGTGAACGCGTACCACAATTTCGTTGTATGATGCATCATCTAATGAGTACAGACTTATGGCAATACTTCAAATTAATATTAGTCGTTGAGTGCATTGGATTCGAGGGTTTCATGCCGTAATATCGGGTGACGGTCTCAACAAAGAGATTAAAGACAAGGCTTCAGAAGATCGGCAATTGTTCAACTCATTGTCGTTGCAGAGATCTTAGAGTATAGAGTACATGGCCAAACGTAACAGGACTCCTGTACCCGCGCAGCTTCATACTGCTGGAGATTTAGACAACCGAATCAGTTGCTTTGGCAAGTTGGTTTGTGCAGGTCTCATCGAAGACCTGTCGCCTATAGCCACATTTGATCACGCCATTTCTAGCTAGCGCCACGACAAACCGAAATAGTCGAGTTAATCCTACTCGTGAGTCCAATTTCTGAGAACTTCCTGTCTTGTAAGTCCTCCGTACTTCGATTATAGTCCTTCCCGAAGTGCGGTGCACCACTTGACGCTTTTATGATGCGGCAGCACGACCACCATGGCCACGAGGCTGACGTGCTCAACCACCATCCTGGCCTAGGGCCCAACCAATCTAACCAGCAACATGCCGCCCACGTCTTTTGCCACGGCCAATCACCACGGCGACCATGGCCTCAGAGCCAATCAACCCAACCACCATCATACATCCAGTGCCTACACGGATGATTTAGCGCCGGTGCTTGGCCTGACGATGTGTGATGACTTTTACGGAGTGGGCTCAAATCTCAAGAAACGTCCGTGAATTCGCTGTGCAACAAGTCTTTGTGGTCGGCATCGCAAATTAGAATGGAAAGTTGAGGCGCTGAGTGTGCACGACTGTGGATTTAAGTTCTTCGACGTTGGTGCTGCAAAACGAAACGATGGCAACGCGAGTTGATTCAAATCGTCGATTCCGCCTAGCACATTGAGCATATTTCTGTCACGAAGGCGAATTTGTCTCACCGCCACATCATGTTTTTATTCTCGGGAGCAGTATATGGACAGAGGGGTGGTTCAACACTACCTGTACGTCGGAAATGGGGATCGCGGTGACAACGACTGATTTGCCCCAAGTGCTCATGTTGACCCGGAAAAACATTCACTTAACGATCACCCAAAGAATTTTCAGGCTTACAAGCTGTTGTAGAAAAATGGCACAGGAGTGTGAGGGAAGCTTGACTGCTGAGCTTTCGTGTATTTTTATGCGGAAAGTTTTGCGAAACCAATTCGGTGTGCACGTGAAAAACGCTTTGTTTCGGTAGTTAAGCAAGGCGTCCAAAGTGCCATTCAAGGGACAATAGAAGATGGGTATCAAAACTGCGGCCGTATCTTAACGCCCTCAGTGCGACAAATCCAGGTAGCCCCCATGAGTCACGCGTATGCCACACATGTCATTTAGGAAGTTATCATAACTTCGAAACTCACGTGCATAGAGAGTTCCACCTCTGTTCTTCGTCCCTGGCTGCTTCGCTGGTGCGGGCCAGTTGTGCAAGCCAGTTCTTGTTCCAGATGGCTGCCACCAACAAAGGCCTATACAACAAAACGGGTGTGTTCATTACAGCAAGCCTTTAGGATGGAGAAATTAAAACGTCCTGGTGGTCGTTGCCCTTGTCCCGAAGCAAGATGGAGTCAATGGACTTGATTTTTGAAGGAAGTCAAAAAGTCCAAACTTGAAATTTCATCAATTGCTTTAGTTGTGACAAAGGTACAAAAAATCAAATAGTCGAAACTGAAGAAAACACTTATTTCATGTACCGTGAACCGTATATTGGTTTAAACATCCTTATTGTTTCAGACTCTCTGGAAAATTATAAATTTTAATTAGCGAGGTACTGTCCTGTGCCTTCGCGCCAAAGTGATCCTCTTATATATTATAAATACTCCATATATTAATATAATATCAATGTATAGAGGGATTTTGAGAGTTTATCCGCCTGAAACTGTAGCGCGCCGCAATTTGAGTCTCGCTGCATACATGACCGACGACACCCATGCTGGCCCCAGTCGGCCGAAACCAACAGGACGGCCCGTGTCAAAGTACGGGAAAAAAGCACGAGCGCGACTGTTCAAGTACAAGACTGTCGATTACGAGCACAGAATGAATGCAATCCATCAGGTGGCAGAGGTTGGGATGTCTGCCTTTCTCGATGTCTACTGTGTTAACTCATCGTTCACCGAACGCTAGTCAACTAGAAAGAAAGTATATGGTTGGATTAAGCATAAAGACCACATCCTTCGATTGGCTACCACTGCTCGCACTTCCAACCAGAAATGTGTCCGTGCTGTCGGGACTGGAACCACGCTGCCAGCTGAAGAAGAAGCTCAACTGGCCCGATGGGTCCATGACATGCGGAAGGACGGTATCCCGGTGACCTACAACATGCTTCATCTCATGGCACTCGAGACAGCAATTGACGTGGGGCTTACCGAAGATGAATTCAAGGCCGGGCGGCATTGGATCCACGGCTTCAAACGGCGCCACGGACTCTCCTTCCGTGCAAAGACGCGAATCGGACAAGATACTAACAAAGACGGAACGTCAATCCTTGCTGCGTTTTCGGAACGCGTCTTGCTCTCCGCTGTTGCCAATGGCATCGACGTCATCTACAATGCCGACCAGACCGGCGTAAACTATGAGTACCTGCCGACGAAGAGACGCTGAACCCAACCAAGGACAACACCGTGTGGGTCAAGTGCGGTGGCAAGACGAAAGACCGAGCAACTGTCATGCTCCTTGCCGACACCACAGGGAAGAAGCATCCCTTGTTTCTGGTGATGAAGACGTCGAAGTCAACGAAAAATAATATGGTTCAGGAGAATCTCACCTTGCGGCAGGGGTTCGGTAAACGCGTCTGGAAAGAAGTCAAGCCGCTTCAGGCGCGCCAAGGGTGCCGTATCTACGCCAACCCTACAGCATGGTGGAACTCGGAGCTGTCGTTGGCGTTCTTGAAGTACCATTTTGCGGAACGAGAAGGTCGCGACACAAAGAAGGTTATCCTCTTGTGGG